GGTCGCCTCCCGCCCGTGCTCACGCGCCCTCTCGGAGCCTGCGTGGTCACCCGGGACCGGACAGCCGTGGCTCCTGGCGGGGCGGCCTGGGCTTGAGGGCGGACAGCCGGGTGTGCCTCAAGCACGCGCCAGGCGCCTCGGGATGGCAACGGGGGCCTTCCTGTCTCTGCGGCCAAGGGACGTTCCCGCTCCCCATCAGGCCTCCCGGAGCCGTGGGGCCAGCCGCCTGCGCCCTAGGACCCCCGCTTGGGGGTGTCCTCACCCCTGTCCCCGCCCTCCAGGGCCGGCCCTGGGTCAGCGGTCCGCTCGGGGGTGCCCCCAGGTGGCTCTGTCTTCTTGGGAGTGTCCGTCCCATGGCCCTGGTCCCAAGGCATCTCCACCACCAGGGCCTCGTGCAGGGATGCCTCCTCCGGGAAGTCTGCCGGGATGGCCCACTGCCAAGTCTGGAGAGGGAGGACGGGACGCTGTTTCGTGTCCACACCTGGGTGGAGTGCACCAGGTCCCCCCTGGCTGAATCTCTAAAACCCCCACAGCAATTGGAGGGTCGCCCCTACCTCAACGACCCCTCCCACCCCACTGCCTCTTCTTGAATACTGTGTCCCTGGGCCACCCAGAGGCCCCACCCAGTGCTGGCCATGGGCCTGCGACCCTGTCATTCAGAGCATTCCCGCCCCCAGGTTCCAGCCATAGGCTCAGGGAGGGCATGTGGCCCAAGCTGGACCAGTCCGGGATGGCCCTGAGGCTTTTTTGCTCCAGATACTGGGGCAACGGGGCCAGGCAGGGTGGCGCGTGCCCACCATCTCAGCACTTTGGGAGGCCGAGGCAGGAGTCCAAGACCAGCCTGGGCAACACAGTGAGACCCTGTCCCTGCAAAAAATTTGAAAAACAGCCGGGCGTGGCGATGCCTGTAGTCCGATTACTCAGGAGGCTGAGGTGGGAGGATCGCCCGAGCCCAGAAGGTGGAGGCTGCAGTGGCCGAGAGTGTGCCACCGCACTACAGCCTGGGCAACAGATTGAGACCCCGACTCAAAAAAATGAAAAGTAAAGACGTATAAAAGCATACATTAATTAATTAAAGTTTACAAAGTAGAGGAGATAGGCCTGGCTCTGGAGGACCCGCACGGGGGGCTGGCACACAGGGAGGGCCAGGCCCTGAAGCCTGGGTTCAGTGTGTCTGAAGCCCGTCACCCTGGGACTTTTCCATCAAGCCCCCGCTTTTGAGTCGGGGTCTTGCTCCGTCGCCCAGGCTGGAGTGCAGCGGCGCAAGCACGGGTCACCGCAGCCTCCACCTGCTGGGCTCCGGCGATCCTCCCGCCTCAGGCTCCCGAGTAGCCGGGACGACAGGCGCCACCCGCAAGCCTGGCCTAATTTTTTTTTTTTTTTTGAGCTGGAGTCTCACTCTGTCGCCCAGATTGGAGTGCAGTGGCCGCTCCCGGCCCCCGCAGCCTCGACCTGCTGGGCTCCGGCGATCCTTCCGCCTCAGCCTTCCAAGTAGCTGGAATTACAGGCACACGCTGCCATGCCCAGCTAATTTTTTTTTTTTTTTAATTTATTGTAGAGATGAGGTCTTGCCAAGTTGCCCAGGCAGATCTTGAACCCGCGGGCTTGGGCAATCCTCTCACCTCAGCCTCCCAAAGTGCTGGGATTACAGGCTGAGCCACCGAGCCCAGCTAGCCTGGCCTGATTTTGAAACTTTTGCAGAGACGAGCTCATGCAACGTTCCCCCAACTGGTCTGGAACTCCTGGGCTCAAGCCATCCCCCTGCCTCAGCCTCCCAAGGTGCTGGGAGATAGCTGTGAGCCCCCGCCCCCGGCCTGATGTTCCCTGGCCGTGGAGGCCCCCTTGCTTCTGTCTCTGCTGCCAGTGGCTCCCCAGGACTGCTGGGAAACGGGAGGGGGCTGAGCACTGGCTCCGAGTCCCCGCCTCACGGGTGGAGCTCACGCACGCCCCGCTCTGGAGCCGGAGGAGGAGCACTCACCTGCTTCCCCTGGCTGCCGGGGAGCTGGATGGCGGAGCTCGCACCGGGCGTGGGCAGGCGTGGGAACAGGCGCCGTGCAGCCCTGGGGGCGTCAAGGCAGAGGGTCTCGTCTGTCCCTCCCGCCTCACCATGCCCAGCCTTTCCTGCTTCTTTGAGGCGGGGCCTCCCTCGGTCGTCCAGGCTGGAGGGCAGTGGCGTACCCACGGCTGCGGCAGCCTCCACCTGCTGGGCTCCGGTGACCCTCCCCCCTCAGCCTCCCAAGCAGCCGGGACCACAGGCGCGCACCACCGCGCTCGGCTAATTTTTCGATTTAGGGTAGAGATGAGGAGGCCTCGCCATGTGGCCCAGCTGGGCTGGAACCCCTGGACTCAGGCCATCCTCTTGCCTCCGCCTCCCCAAGTGCTGGGATGACAGGCGTGAGCCTCTGCGCCCAGCTCGACTCACGCTTCCCACCTGCACGAGGTCTCACAGGTGGTGAGGATGTGGGTTGGGGGCGTCTTCCACATGGGGGTCCAACCCCCCCCCCGCCCCCTGCTGGGCCCATTCCTGACCCCCGGGCCTCAGCCTCCTCGTCTGGAAAGCGGGCGCCCTCGGACAGTCGGACACCCCTGCCAGGTGCGAGGCTGTCGCTGCGATTCCCACCAGGAGTCACCTGCTCAGACCCAGGTGGCCAAGGACACCCAGCAGGAGGACGCTCAGGAAACCGCCTAGCGACGCCAGGAACACGGACGTGTCGGAGGCCGGGGCGGCTGCGGTGGGAGAGCTCGGGTCAGGAGCGCCGGGAGGCCGAGCCCCCTTGGGGATCCCGGAGTCCCCACCCAGAGACCCCAGCCCCAGGATGGGAGATGAGGGGAGGAGCTGTGGCCGGTGGGGCTGTGGCCAGAGGGAGGCTGGGAAGGCTCTCTGGAGGAGGGAGCTGTTGAGCGGGGTTTTGAAGGATGAGCAGGAGTTTGACCATGGAAAAACAGGCATTCCAGACGGGGGGAGGGGAGGGCGTGAAGGGCCTGGGGCAGTCTGGCTGGGCCTCTCTCCTGAGGACCGAGGGTGCGGGCAGGGTGGCTGGGCTCCGTGTGGGAGGGCCGCCACGGGGCATGCTGGGTAAGACGCGCTGCCCCCGCACTCACCGAGGATCTGGAAGCTCTGGGGCGGGCTCCAGACGCCCCGGGACGCGGCCGTGTCCGCGCGCACCTGCACCGTGTAGGCCGCCCCTGCTCGCAGGCCGCGGAGGGTGGCGTGGGTCTCCGAGGGCTTCACGGCCTGCTCTGTGGGGAGACGGTGCTGGGCCCAGGACCCCGGGACGCCCAGAGCCGTGGGACCCCCGGGCCGGGGACCAGCCCTGGCTAGGCCTCCCTCCCTCACACACACGTCCGCCCCCGGCTTTCTCCCTGTATCAGGCTGGCACGGCGGGCATGCACCACCATGCCGGCTGGCTCTTGGGCAGTTTTGTGGAGGCCGGGTCTCACCGGGAGGCCCGGCCGGCCTCCACTCCCAGGCCACAAGCGGTCCTTCCGCCTCAGCCTCCCAAGTGCCGGGACGACAGGCCTGAGCCCCGTGCCTGGCCACGCTCGCGTCGGGCATTTGTGGAGGAGCGTTCTTCCTCGAAATACCTGGGAGGGGTGCCGTCCCTCTCAGACGCCGGCCTCCTCTCTGGGCCTCCCCTGGGCCTCCCCTGCGCCCGACGGCCTGGGCGGGCTCCCCACCTGGCCCGGGCTTTTCTCAGACTCCGCCCCGTGTCACCCTTCCCGTCCCACGGGTTTTCAGGGTCGGGTGAGGGTCAGCTCCGTCCGGTCCGCGCCCCAGCGCCCCGGCTCACGGCAGCTACTCAGTGAGTGTTTGCAGAATGGGACGGCTCGGCCAAAGCACCGGGCCAGTGTGGCAGCTCACGCCTGTCACCCCAGCACTTGGGGAGGCTGGGGTGGGAGGATCACTTGAGGCCAGGAGTCGGAGGCCAGCCTGGGCAATGCAGTGAGACCTCGTCTCGACACGGAATTTTAAAATGCGCCGGGCGTGGTGGCACCTGTTGTCACAGTGACTTGGGAGGCCGAGGCGGGAGGATCGTTTGAGCCCCGGAGTTGGAGGCCACAGTGAGTCGTGCTTACACCACGGCGCTCCAACCCGGGCCACAGAGTGAGACGGTGTCTCTGAGAATATTAATACAAAGAACCCTTGTGTCCAGCTCTCTTCGTTACAAGCGAGGGCGCCGTGGCCCAGAGAGGGGCCCTGGGACGCCAGCGTCGACCAGCAAGGAGGGCTCAGACCGAGCTGCCGTCCGCCACCGCCAGGCCCGCGTGGCCTCCGTACCTGACACCCGGCCGCCATCTTGCTCTCGACAGCGCACGACGTATCCCTTCAGGGCCCCGGGACAGGCGCTCAGCGGGGACGGACTCCAGGCCACGTGCACCGAGTCCAGGCTGTGATTCCTCACCGAGACGTGCTGCGGGGTCCCGGCCCCCGAGGCTGCAACCGGCACCATCGTCCCCGTCAGCCAGGCGCACGACTTGAGCGCCTTCTGCATGCACGACTTAGCATTGTGCAGAGGCAGGGCAACCTTGGCCGCAGAGTCAGGTGGGCCTGGGTTCGAACCCCAGCTCCACCCGACAGTCACTGCCATGGTCCTTCTCTGAGCCTGGTTTTCCGTTTGTTTTTTTTTTGAGTCGGAGTCTCCCTCTGTTGCCCAGGCTGGAGTGCAGGGGCACACTCACGGCCACCGCAGCTTTGACCTCCTGGGCCCAGGCCATCCTCCCGCCTCAGCCTCTCGAGTAGCTGGGACTACAGGCATGCACCACCATGCCCAGACAGTTTTTCAACCTATTGTAGAGACCAGGTCTCGCCCTGTTGCCCAGGCTGGTCTTGAGCCCGCGGGCTCAAGCCATCCTCTCGCCTCGGCCTCCCAAAGGGCTGGGATGACAGGCGTGAGCCACCACGCCCAGCTGAGCCCGGTTTTCTGACCTCTAAAATGGACGATACTGTTAGGTGGGAAACAGGGGCTCACGTCTGTCATCCCAGCCCTTTGGGAGGCTGAGGCGGGAGGAGCACTGGAGCCCAGGAGTCTGATACTGGCCCGGGCAACATGGCGAGACCCCATATCCACAGCACACAAGAAAATGAGCCGGGTGTGGGGCGTGCCCCTGGGGTCCCAGGAGGCTGAGGCTGCAGGGAGCGATGATGGTGCCACTGCCCTCCAGCCGGGGCCACAGAGCAAGACCCTGCCTCTGAGAATAAACAGAGGCCGCTCTGGACGACATGTGGCGGGCGCCTCCAAGTGCTCCTTCCCGATGCCCGCCAAGTCCTCGGGGAGCTGCGCCTGCAGCGTGGACCACTCACCGTTGCCCCCGAAGTGGTGAGTGGACAGCACCGTGGCCCAGGAGGTGGGCTTCTCCGGACGCGTCGAGGCGAAGATGGTGACGCGGTAGCACTCCTCCTCGGCCAGGGCGGGGACCGTGTGGCTCCAGCTGTGCGTGGCTGAGGGGAGAAGGGGGGCCCCCCGTGGACTTGGCTGCCGCCTCTGCGCTGCGCCTTCTGCTGGGGACTCTGAGAACACTCCTATGCATGCCCCAAAGCCCTTGCCCCAGAGCGCCCTCCTCCAGGACGCCTCCCTTCGGCAGCCCCACCATCCCAGCCTTGCTCGGGTCCAGGCGCCTGTGCCCGCGCAGTCTCCTTGGGCCGGAAGGCCCTCCAGGGACAGGCCGTGGTTGGGGCGCCCAGGGCCCCCCTTCACCACAGAGCCTGGCGGGCCTGCCCCAGCCTCTG